GAAGCATAAACTGGATTGAACCTCTGAATTAGCCTATTTTTCACTCACAAGCTCTGCCAACGGAGTGATCTACCTCGAAGCCCGTAAGGAAGCTAGCATTGGCAAGAGCTAACAAAGTATGGGGCGGAAGAAAGCATAATTTATTATTTCTAACTAGAATCCTGATAGGGTAGATCAATATCCTCTCCTCGCTTCTCGCAAACAAGAACGATACTGTATGATCCAAAAAAAACCCCTCACATAATCTATCATCCTCCGGGACCTTACTATCATCATAATGTGCCCCACAGGTTTCATTTGCCCCAGTTCGTAGTCATCAACTGTCACCATGCTATTATATCTAAAATTAACGTGCTCTCTGGCAATGATCCCAATGCCGGAAATGCTGCCGGCACACTCCCGCGGGACACATGATTACCGCCTCCGAGAACCCGCAGTGGTATCCGCACACTTCTGGAATGATACCTAACCTTTATCTTGTCTTAGAAGTATTAGCGAAGCAAGTGCTACTAGTTCTTAGTATCCTTCATTTGCTTGGAAAGGAGACCTGTAAAGGACTAAAACATGATAAACCAACAAAGGACACTGTGCTGCCTTTCGTTAATTCGGCTAGCAGAATGAACAAGAGCTAAATCCTGGTAGGATAAGTTTCATTTTCCCAAAGGGGTGTCCAGTGAAGTACATGACCTTTTTGGTTCTGGCGTATCGGCTAAGTTATGAGCTTATCAACCTGTTAGCTTTTTATGCTTGAGCCGGGGCAACGGGTTGTCTCCGTCCGGCCTTCTACACTTTCTTTCTTCGTTTCTTTTCTCTTCGGTGGTTGATAGACATACAGCAGCTCAAGTTGAAACCCCATCCTAGGAGCTTCTGCCTGTGCTCTGCATAGCTGCTCCGTAAGAATCCTGGTGAGACGGAAGTTTGCTTTGTCCGTGAGGCTGGGGCTCCCCCACACGGACTCCTATTGGCCAATACCCCTTCTCACCTTGGCGCACCGTAATCTCCGTCAAGGAGAAACTCCGTTTCGCGAAGGCTTTCGACAAGCTACTATATATAGAGGACGACTGAATATTATTCCCTTTCACCGGGGTGCCGGGGTGGCGGGCGGGGGTTGGGGTCACTAGGTGTCACTCGAATAGAACTAGGGCTCGAACGGTAGGTTTACATAACGCAAGTTCCGATAACACAATACTGCACAGTGGCTCACCGTAAACCTGCCGGAGGCCGGTGACTGAGCAAAGGTAAAGAAAAACGCTTTTGATCTCAACTGAAGTGCGCGAGCGGGGAGGGTTTACACATGGCCTGCAGAGGAGAAAATGGGGACTCAATTTGGGGTTTTTAAATACCGGATAATGAGGTCAAAGACGTCGTGAGGGCTGATCTTAAACAGCGTCAGGAAAATATCATACTAATGATTTAAGGGCTTTTGCCTTTGAGCTTGGGCATTTAGGCTTGCCGTGGAAATTGGGTTTTCATGAGATTTTACGGTCCACGATTAACCCTGTCGTTCTAGGTAGGGATATAGCCAGTCCGGATTAGCCCCTTCGCAGTACAGCCGATACAAACATATAGGGTGGATTGTCATCCTTGAGGAGGTGGCACCTATCCTATGTTGTTCAAGAGGGAGAAAGCGATTCCTCTTTGGGCTTAGGTCGCTCTAGGGGTGGAAATACCGGGGGCTGTAGCGGTGCCGCCACTACTGCAAGGCGATGCTTGGCACATATCAAAGCCCACTAGAGTATTGTTCGTCCCGATCTGTCGGGCCTGTCAGGGTTGATGCCGCCCCATCCGAGGAGTATTTTCACCCCACCCCTACAAACCTTTAGCAACGTAACAGAGCAGTGTTTGGCCATCCTCATCTAGTTTGTTGGGGTTTTCATCGCCCCGGCCCTAATAGTGTTTTATCCACCCCTCGTGCCAGTTCCAAGTTGCTCACGCCCTAGTGCAGCCCTTTTTGTTGGTATCACAGCCTTCTACCCCCACCAACCCAACTACAATCTCAGCAGTCCCAAAGATGCATGCACAGTGGGGACTACCGACCGGGGAGGATCTATTGAAATCAATACTGTCGGAGTACGGTTTCTGAGCTCCCGGGAGGGATTTAGTGGTTATGTGGTTATTGTAGTCGTCAAATAGCTTCAGGGAAAGCAATTTCGTGCCATCTGAAAGGTGCCTTTTTGCGTGAATTCTCCATTATGGAGAGGAATGTTCAAGAAAGGGTGTGCCTTGGAGATCGGAAGAGGGACTGGTCGAAAGAGCCTTGGCTGGCTAGGAATAGGGATAGCTTAAGTAAGTTTCCGTCCCCGTCGAGCGAGTTTTTGCCGAAAGGCTCCGAGTGACCCCGGAAGTACTCTTGAAGAGCAAAGTGGATTGACCGGACTCCGGAAGTCTCCTTGTCTCCTGCAGAAAGTTCCTGGTAACAGGATGGCAATGTCCCAATTGAATGGGGATTGTCGGTATTGGGATTTGCGGACCCTACTTCGGCCGACCGGGGGCGACAAAGTTCACCTGACTTCAAGGACTCCTCAGGGTGAGAGATCAGTATCAAAGCCGGCATTCCATGCCTCGTCCTCTCCCCATCCGCAGAAGTTTGTTGTCACGGTAGATTTCCGCATTTACCATAATAATATACCCCACCACCCCAACCATCGAGGAGCAAAACCGTCAGAACCGAATGCTGTTCGACTGCTGAGCTAAGTAGGAATTCAAAGACTCGTTGAACATGCCGACGAATACTGCTCTGCTGGAGCCTATGATAACTCAGGATAAAAAGTCTACTACCAAACTCGCTAACCAAGATAGCAGACTAAATCTCTGGCGAAAAGCCAAACTGACGACACCCCAGGACACCTGTCCCCAAATCATAAACAAAACTAATATAATTAGTGCACTACGTACGGTAGAGAGTTTAACTCCGACCCGGCCTACTCAAACACTGAGCGCTATCATTTCCAGGTAGGTGGCTTGGTTGTCGCCGCTCTTCCCCGGTTGTTTTCTGGCAAAGTCATGGGCCCTCACTCGTCTCGGTCAAGGGTTCGATTGGCGGGAACTGTATAATCATTAGACCAAAGTGACCGAGATTCATCGTTTTAAGAAAATGACCACGTAGTCGCCTGTCTTATGCCCTTAAATTCCAAACATTGTGGACGTCACGCATCACCACACACCCTAGTTGGGACGTGCATGATCTGGATAGCCACTTCTGAAACCTTACCGACAGTATGCCAATGAAGCATCCCTACAGTATGATCTAGCAATAGTAGTGTTGGGAGATGGGCTGTTTAAATCTCCATCGCCATGCCAACGATTAAACCAACATGCCTTGGTTCAATCCTTGAATGTAGAGAAAGAGCTCATTGAATATTAAGAAGAAGGATCTCTCCACGCACTGCTTAAGCTCTCATTCTACCGTTTCCAATTCCGGAAGGAGAGGGTTTATCTTCTTGGGCTTTGTTCGTTATCCCAGAGCGAGCATGGGCTATTAGTGATTAATGGTGATTTTTCTGTCCGAATCTTTCATTTACCGGTGCATACTGGTATAACTGGTGATTCGCGCTCAGGACTGCTCGCAATTTTGAAGCGTTTTCAAGGGAGGGCTGTTGCATAGCACCAAAATCTGCCCTTAGACTAACCTGGGTGGTATGTATGCAACATCAGTTCCTCCCAAAAAGAACCCCCCCCCCCCTCTTCGACCCCGCGAGTACCGGGCTCGGGTAGTAATTGCTACTAGTATCCCTATTCAAAACCCCAAGAGCCCCCTTATTCTATATTTGAGCCCAGTGAGCACGGATGGGAAGTGGTTAAAAAGCGACTACCTGACTGGCACCCAGTAATATCTGATATGATACCTCGGGGAGGAAGGGGGTTACAAAGAATCCCGCCTTTAGGGTACGTGACCATTCCTCCTGGAATTCTTCCCAAAATTGTGGTAATCCATGCCAGATGGAGGGGCTGCTGTTGAGGTGAGAGGGGGGTATTGAGTATCAAGCTGTACAATAGTAGGCCACTTTTGGATTTTTACCTTATTTTTATTTTTTTTATTCCCTGCATTCCCCACCACGCCTGCTCGTCTTTGACAGTTGACAGTTGACCATTCAATGGCGAGGTGATAACCTCACCGCGTAGATACCGATTGAGTCACTAACGTAATTAAGGGTGTCTCGCATCGCGATGAGTGTTATCTGGTAACTTAGCTGTGTCTAGGATGTAGTGGTGGTGCGGTACTGTACGATATCTTACGAAAACTGACCATGAACTTTCCGGGCACCGTTATTCGGGCCGATTTCAAGAGACACTTCAGACCCCAGCGAGAGTGCAAGGGAGAGGGTTTGCACATGGCCCGAAAAAGGAAATCACGCCAACCAAATATCCATCGAGGTAGAGTGTGGGATTTTTTTAGAAAAAAGAGAGATGATGGAGGGAAAAGGAAAAAATTTGACTGACACTCTTTGGCGGGGAATCGAACCCCGGTCTTCCGCGCTCAGAGTTAACTGACAGGCGGAAATACTAACCTCTATACTACCAAAGACTATGCCTGTTCTCTTTAGGTTCGCTATTAGAAGCTTGGCGAATCAGCGCTCTCTGCAGTTTTGACCCATGTGATGTACCGTAAAAACTGGAATAATCCAGTCGTGTGCTATGTCGTTGGAGTTGCTCTCTCCCGTAAGGTGTGGTGTTTTTTATTTTATTTTATAGTTTTCTTTGTCTCTCGGGGGGGCTGAGCGGGTTGTTTTTTGCGGTGTTTTTCGCCCCTTTTCCGAAGGAGGGAATTCTCGACTATGATACATAGCACCTGACTCTATTATTACAGTTTTTACGGTAAGTTAAGACGCCATTGCTCGGCATCTAGTTTTATGGTGCGGGGTAATCTTTTCTTGGGATTGCACCTTACGGCTGTAATTTCCGACAGGTGTTAGTGGTATCATACCGTAATATTTGAAACTAAATCTGGATGCCAGATGGCAGCGGCTTAGGATTTTTTGAGAGATGGTAGTGGCCCAAATGAGAGGAAAACTATCAAGATATAAAAAAAACCTCATGCTATGGATAAAACACATTTTTATAATACACCGCCCATCAACCTCTTTCCACTTTGGCATTCTAGTGCGTCCGCGGCTTCCAGTGCCCCCGCACATTCCGCTGCGCAATTCGCTTTTCCGGTGTCTGGTTCCTCCTCGATGGCGCTGGCCTGAACACGTCCCCAGCAGTAAGCGGCTTCTTGCCTTTTAACGGCGCCAAAATATCTTTGTGGTCCGACTCCACGGTCCCTCCTAATATCTTGTCGTCCCCGTCATCCCAAATAGCCATTGGCTTGGGCTTCAACGGCTCGTTCGGGAGGCGGAACCGTTTCCTCGGTGGGTCCTCCATCTCAAACAGCAGCTCCGTCGTAGGGGTGATCTTCTTCAAATCCGGCCCCTTCTCTATCCTGCTCTTGATCTGCGCGCTTGGGACGTACGCGCTCTTAACGATGTGCTTTGTGTACGCTATCTGCTCACCGTTCTCCACGGTTTGGCCCTTGATTCTCCAGTCGAAGCGGAAGCTCTTTAACCAATGGCTTGGGAACTGAGAGAAGTCTGAGTCGACTTCGTGCGCAGTCTTGACGACGTATTCTATGCCCTTCCGGACGCGCTCGAATTGGCCGTCGTTGAATTTGCGGCCTTGGAATTCGGGGTGGATTCGGGCTTGGTAGAGGATCTCTTCGCTTTTGGAAGGTTAGCCGTCTGTTCAATTGGCAACCTGTGTATTGTTTGATACTTGCGTGGGGGGAGTAGGGATCATACCTCATCCAACTTCCAAGGCCAGCTATATGCGCCTGATTTGTTAGTAGTACCCGTGCCGGGACATGCCTGTCAAACCTTTTTCGCAGCCACTCTGTCGTAATCGCTTCCCGTAAAGGATCTGGTCCCAAAACGTTTAATGGAGCCTGCTTAGGGATATCTTCGGAAGAGCAGTCCATCAACCGTAGGCGCGCTAGCCGGCGGGGGTCAGCGAACATGGCTTCATCCCTGGAGCTATGGGTCTTCAGATGGAATATTTCGCCACTGGGAGGCCAGACGGTGAACTCGGGCTTTTCCCGTGCATAGTAATGCGAGAAAGGATCGTTTTTGAAGAATATCCAGCCGGCGGGTCCTATTTTAATTAGCCGAGCCCGATCCTCAGACACTGCAGCTGGCCCGGAGGTGAGGAGTTGCTACCTAAGTGTATAACAGGATGCGGCGGTCTGTCCATTTCTAACCTATCAATTTGTTAGAAATAGTCATCTCCACACAAAATAAGGGTGAATTGGTAAAGACCAAAAGTATTTCCCTAAAGACTTCGCATCGAGTACCTTTCTCCCCTCCATTGCGTGGAGAAATTCATGTGCAGTTGTATCCTGAAATACCACTGGATCATTGATTGCGGTGACATCTCTCAACGTCTTGCCAGCAAGGTACTTCCTCAGCCTGCCCACCAAGCGGGCGACTTGTACTAATTCCGGCATATTCGCGTCCGTCGACGATGTGTGGTTCACCGTGTGTTAGGGAAGGAAAGCGGGAAATTTCGATTTCGGATCTCACTCTTTTTTTTTCTTTTCTTTTTTTCTTTTCTCCTCCTCTCCTTTTCCCCCCCTTCCCCTTTCGGTGGTTGGCGTGGCGTGGGTTAAATTTTGCTTGTCTTGGCTTTCGTCATCCTGGATGATTGGTTGATCCCTTTCTGCCACAGTTTCAACCTTATCTTCACTTCACCTCATCTCAGGACCTGCCTACCATAGACGATAGATTTACCAATTCGTTCGTTCAACTTATAATTCTCTCTCCCTCCCTTCCTTTCGGTAGCTTAGATAGCTTGGTACGGGGACGACAATAACAAAAACGATGCTCTACCAACAACGACAAGCAAGATTCAATCATCCTCCGCTAACGCCTAGTCTTTGCTTCACCACCAGCGCATTAAAAGGTTCCGTCCACACACTCTCAGACCCCGAAGCTACCCGCCCCACTAACAAACCCAATAATCCCCAGAATTCCTCCGCCTCTCAAGATCCTCAATAGATGACAGCATAAGCCAAAACCTCAACGCCCTCTCCACACCCTCGAAGCCACCTTTCGACCCAACCACGACTGTAACCCGCTACCCACCATCCACCACCCGACGCCTCCCCGTGCAGGCGTGCCGCGCCTTCGCGGAGCAAATCCTCCTCCCGTCATGGCAGTCTCGCTCTGACGTCCTCAATTACTGCGCCTCCGTTGCGACGAGTGATGACCCTAACGATCCGGACTCCCTGGTCAGGCTTGCGGAGGGCGCGGTTGATAGGGAGCGTGTGGTGGACGAGCGGTTGGATCCTTATTCCGGGAGATTCTTTCCCAGGGAGAGCAGGACAGAGGTGCTCGCTCAGATTATACGCAACGAGAGGACGGTGGAGAACATTGTTAGGGAGAGGTCATGGAGGGTTGTTAGGGAGAGGTGTAGCGAGTTTGGAGCCCTTGACGAGGATTGGAGGGAGGTGTTAGATGCTTGGAGAACGAGGAACGGGAACTGTCAGGCTTTACTTGCCTCCCGAGAGAATTAGGTCCCAGTGGGGGGTTACCGACGTAGTTGGGAAAAAGGATAAAGAGAGCCTCCTTGTAGATAGTGGCTTTGTTTCTTGGGGTGTTGCTGGCATTGTATAGATTTTCTGTTGGGTGGGCGTTGTTGTATCATTAGAGGGTAGGGTTTTTCTCCACTCATTGTCTATGCTTAATATAAAAGTTTGATGTTTGATAAAGCTCTTGGACATAGATCATGGTCGGCCAGTCATTGCACCCCCTTGGAAGCACAGCAATCCGCATTAGGATATCTAAAGGGAAGAACCCCCGTGCAATATTACACCTTCCACGTCAACCCTCCCGTGAAACATATACTCACAAGTAGTCAAGGACCTGAGAATTTAAAGGCCCGGCTATCATATTCCACCAAGCAAGAAAGCAAGCGAAGTCGTATCTAGTATAAGCAATTCCAAGCAGAGATTTCCTGGGTTTCATGGGTAAGAACCGCGGATCTGCACGGGCGCCTATGAAGAATTTCTTAATTTAATCTTACGAGAAGTCCGCTAGTTTTAGACATTCAAGCACGACCTACCGGTATCCGGGGAAACACCTAAGACTGTGATGTTCGCGGTGAATGAAACCTGTTGCAGAATTTCGTATTGTGGATAGCTGAATGGCGGTTTATCATGTTCTGGAGTTAGGGAAAGGTGGAATTTTCGGTGTAAATGCGCCAGTCACGATGAGCTGTGGCCACACTACACCGTAGAATGGACGTCATCGCGAGGGTTCTATAGGTCATATCGTAGAAACACTATAAATATCACAACACATCATTCGAATATGGTCTTTATACAGAGCTAGCATAGCCACTTGTTGCTTTACTATCTCATACCCGTCCGTCAAACACAATCACCCAATAATCAAGATAAATCCCACCAAAATATATAAATAATTTAAATAAATAAATAGAAGTACTTCCTCTACCTTTGGTAGTTCTCATGCCATTTTATTCCTTCTATTCATTCCTTTTCCCAGTCGCAGAAGCCACTCATCTCACCCGGTCGGTCACTTAAGAATAACAAGCAGTGACAACACGAAAGTTGCTATGCTCGTGCGATATCATATCATACCGTAGTACGAGTTCAGAGTTTGCCGTCCCTCCACGGGCCACGGGTGACGGGGTATCATGGCTGCACGCCACAGGGAACAGTAGTAGAAGTCGCCTCCCCAACAAAAGCTTGGATCACACTTGCTGGAGCCTCAGGCCACTGCGATAGGCCTGCTCTGGCTAGTGGCATGTACGGTAAATTGTGATAGTGAAGAGTAGAATATTCAAACCTCTCGGTAGAAATTATTGGCGGATAAAGGGGATAGAGACAGGAATGGAGAGAGAGAAGAAGCTATCGCTGGTGATGAGCCCGTATCCGAATCCCGCCCATTTCTCCTGTCTTCCAGTGGGTCCTGGAGTCGTGAATTGCGATCCCACTAGAATATCCAACGGATCTGTGATGGATATCCGATTCAGCGGGGCTGTAAACACCCACGTGGGTCGCTAAATGTCCAACGGTACTCGAGAATTTTTGTTGAAGCGCTCCGGGAGTGATGGGATTCTTGTTTAATTTAACCTCTTTGTCCCCCCTAGTTTTTCTTTCTTTCTTTCTTTATTTTTTGTCGTCTTCAAACACTAAAGCATAAACCTTGGTGCAACGGCCTACTGCATCACTCCACAGATACCCCACACTACGAACCTTGTGGAAAATATTGTTAGAGAGTGAGAAGATTATAGGCCTATGGTACTATTCTATCAGGGGTGCGAGTTTATGGGCTTTATGAGAACATGTTGTTCCCGAAAAGTCGATAAAACCCCCCCCCTCCTGCCACCTCAGGCTAGCGGGAAATCAGGGGTAAACTGGCGGCTTAGAAACCAAATCTCCGCATCGATGACTTCCTATACGACTACACTGGCCTTAGAGTCTCCAGCTTCAGCCGCGAGCGGCCCGGTAATTTCACGACCTGCACGGCGCCCGGATTAACCCCCCCCAACCTACCCCCCCTTGCCACCTCCCCCAGGCCGGAGGCCCGTCGGTAATCCTCTCAATAGTACCAAGAGTCCCTAGTCTTCACAACATCCATAATGTATCCACATCTGGAGTAATTAATTCCCTGTCCCAACCAAAGTTGGAGCAAGGGATATCAAAAGTATCATAGCTCAACTCGTCAGCAATAGCAAGGATTGCGCTTTCGAGAAATAGCTGGGGGATATATACAGGGGCTGGGGGGGTTAGGAAAGTAGGCTTGAGTATGCCATGGCTGGGATCTATCACATAGCATCACTCGGATCTTAATCCTTCATCTGATCATCATCACTATCACTCTCCCATTCCCCTTCTTCTTCCCATTCCTTTTCACCGTCCTCTGCGCTTTCACCTTCCTCCATTTTTTCTGGAATCTCCTTTTTAATGTTGGATAATATTTCCTTCGCATGATCCCTGATGCCTTCGTCCTCCCATTCGAGTGCGTTGTACAGCTATCTCGCCAGTTAGCAAAGCCCGGACTATCCATGGAGAAGGTGACTCACCAATAGACAATTTTCCAACCACTCCCTCGCTGTCTCCCAACTCTCCACCCACCCACCCTCACCGCCCTCCCTCTCCTTTTCCCCCTCGCCCAACAAGAACAAAGACCATCCGCCCAGGTACCACAAATCCGGCAACTGATCATCCTCGTCCTTCAGCCTCTCCAGAACCTCCAAAGCGACCTCATACTCCTCCGTCTCGATCAGCAACTTGGAGAGGTTAACCCTATCCGCATATGGCGGCACATTCTCATGCGTGGGTGGCAACTCCTTCCACCCATCGAACGCCCTCTTCAGCGCAGCGACCGCGTCTTCAACCCTTTGCTGGGAAATTCGCATACTGGCAAGCGTCTGTAGCGCCACAGCGGACTCCGGTAATGCTAGTAGCGCCTCGGTGACGTAGCGCTCGCAGCGCGATTCGGCGTCGGGGGACATGCATAGATCGCTCATGTAGATCTCTGCCAGGCCGCATAGCGCCGACACGAGCTTTTTCAGCAAGCCACGCTCGGCCGTGGCGGTGGGGTGTGGGGTTGCAGAGGTGGATAACCAGCGTTTTATGATCTCCACGCCTCGCTCGTAGTACGCCACCGCCGTCTCGGCGGAACTTAATTGTGCCAGCCAGAGAAATTTCTCGGGGCCCGTGCCCGCCGGCGACGCCTGACCTTCGGGGTCTATCGAGGCAGAGTGGGAGAATGCGGCAAAGGCTGCTTCGGTATCGCCGAGCTCTATGTGCGCTTCGCCGAGGAGGTCTAGGGCTTGCGGGGAATTCGGGTTCACCAGGAGGTACTTTTTCAGGAGCGGGAGCGCGGCGTCCGGGGAGGAGCTCTCGTGGAGGAGGGAGGTGGCTTCTATGAGGAGGCTTTCGTCAGGTTTCGCGTGCGGGTTTGTCGAGAATGCGGCGGCTGAATTGAGCACTGATTTCCCCCGTTTGCCGGATTTAGACCTTGACTTTGATTTCGATTTGGGGGAGCGTGTTTTTGCCATTGTTTTATTTTTTATCTTTCCCTCGGTCAACTGGTGCGGTGTGAGCGGCGGCAGAGGTGTAGTGCAGGTAACCAACCATCCATAAACATTGAGGTTGAATCCTACTCAAACCCTATCCCTCGAACATTTTTTTTTTCCTCTTCGCAAAATCCAATTGCCCCTCCGCACTAAATAGGCAATGATCTGCAGCGCCAATTATCGCCCCGCCATTTTTTAGTGTCAACTAGCCATATACTCGAGTACCGTACTTCATCCACTCAGAACGAGCAACTCAGCTACCGTATCTCACTGCTACTACCACACTCGCCACATACCTACACCTGTACCGGTGCTCCCTAACTCGCCAACACCGGGAAACAAGGGGCAGGACGCAAAATGGGAGTCGAAGAACAACTCCAGGAGATAGAGGTCTTACAATCCATTTACCCCGACGAGCTTGCCCGTGCGGTGCTTTCCTTCCCCCATACTTGTTGCTGGGAGAAACGTTTCTAAAAATTGACAGAGACGTCCGACACTTCGTATACTATTCGTCTAGTCCTTGAGCCGCCTAATATTCCTGGCTACGATCATGAACCTCGTCCGTTACTCATACCCTCCATACCTCTCCTCCTCTAGGGAATTTACTAACTATCACACTCATAGCCATCCTAATACTCCACGTCGAATACCCCCCAACATACCCCGATGTCCCCCCCGCTCTCGATCTAACCCTTGATGCCAACTCCCCATCCTCAAGCATCTCGTTCCCAGATGACAAGAACGCCCTCTTATCTGCGCTCTCCCCCACCATTGACGAAAACCTCGGCATGGAAATGATCTTCACACTCACCACCACTCTGAAGGAGTCCGCGGAGGAGATGCTCAATACCCGCGCTCAGGAGAAGGAGAATAAGCGAGAAGAGGAGCTTCGGAAAGAGGAGGAGAAGGAGATGGAGAAGTTTAGGGGAACCTTGGTCACGAGTGAGAGGTTTATGGAGTGGAGGGATAAATTCTTTGCTGAGATGGAGGAGAATAAGCGGAGAGAGAAGGAGAAGGAGGATGAAGAGAAGAACAAGAGGGGTGGTGGCGGAGGAAGCGCGGTTAAGGAGAAGAGGATGACCGGTAAGGGCCACTTTTACATATTCCCTTTACAGGAAACGCCCTATGTGGAGGAACTAGTTTTACTTATGAATGTATTGAACCCCAACAGGCAGAGAACTCTACGAGAAAGGCCTCGTCGGCAACATCGACGACGACGAAGCTGAAGATGGAGAAGTAGCCGATCTATCACAATTGAAAATAAAGGAGTAAAGAGTCTCCATAGCCTTTTTTTTTTCCTTTAAAAAAAAACATCATAATTACCCCCCCCCCCCCCCGGTCGTGGAGTGAAAGAAACAAGCTGTGATCGACTACCCATTCTTCCACATGTCACCCTCATCAAGGTCGTCCCCGAGCCACTTTGTAGTAAACTTCGCGTCGACAACCTTCTCCCTGGCGGTCTCGGCCTCCTCCTGCGCGCGCTTGCTGGCCCAGTTCGGTATCGGGGTGTTTTGCTGCGAGGCTGGCGGGGTTTGCTCCACGGGTGGTGAGTGCAGTGTGAGGTTCTCGGTCGGGTTTGAGAGGGCCGCGGGAGGTGTCGACGGGGTGCTGGAGGGGGAGTCTTGCATTTGACTGTCTTCGCCGTCTGGGGGGTGGGGTGGTGGATGTTAGCTGGAGTTTAAGTAGGAATGGCTTGGATTATGGCCGAGGTGGGGTGGGGAGGGTACCGGAGAGGTTTGTCATTTTGTTGATTATTTGATTAGTTGATTGGCTGTAGTATTTGGGGGGAGGGGGGGAGTTCTGTCGGTGTGTGAGTTCTCGAGTAGGGTGGGTAGAGAGAAGAAGGGAGAAAGAGCGGGCGGCGGGATGGAACTGAGCTTAAGCTTGTCAGACTGGTCCAAGACATGGGGCTCTGGTTTCTTGGCAATGCCCTAACAGTACAGGATCTAATCGGATCTCCACAACGGGACCTTTGGGACAACAGAACTGAAAGTGTAGCCGTGATTCCAGGGAACCCCTGGGTTCCAGCCACATTGTATTCAGTACAGTCGTACCAGACTTTCAAGAACATTCAGCGAGCTTCAGATTTTTTGGAACTCTACGATACAGCATAACTTGAGATACTTCTCTTCAGAAAGCCGAAAAAACAATCTCTCTATCTATATATAGGTAGAGCGCCATCGTAGCCCGAGTTCCCCATCCCGAACCTTAACACGTGGGGCAATTCTGGGCCACTCTAACAAAATACATAAGTCTTTCACTGTGTCGGCCCACCATCCTGAATCTCTAAGGCTGGGGGGATTGTGCGAGTGTAATCGCACCAGTCGACTTCTCGGGGCATACGCATCTTGTGATGTGCTAGGGTACTCGAGTATCTCACCGCATGAGAATAAACTACCGTACTCAGTTATTTATCGACCTGTGAGAACTTCCACGTAAAATATTAGTGTTCAGCTAATCCTCTTATAAGCTATAATAAAAAAGTAAGAAGCAAGGCACATCAGTTCTCCAAGGTGAAAAACTTTTTTTTCGTCAATTGGTTAAGTAGTCCGAAGAATACGAGCATAGCATCATCGTGTCTTTCCGCGGGAAAAATCGGATGGGGACCAATTGTCTTACATTATCCATGTATTGCCCTCCTCGAGGCCGACTGCAACAAGCGGATCCTTCAAGTGTTTCGTCACCGCATTTCCTAGATTCCTGACGTAAAGTAAGTACCATCTCTAGCCTAAGGAGGAACGGGATGGATTTGTGGAAAAGGGGATGGGGGCAAAAGTCAAGTCAGGCTCATTAAATCAGATTTTGTTATAATGTGCTCATAAAGCGGTCTCCCGCCATCACACAGTGTGAATAAAGTATTCATCATTTTGACGGTTTTCCGGGGGGGGGGAAATAAAACGCGGGAGAATAAAATGTGCACCGCACCTCTGTGAAGTGGGCACGCGAGTAAGTGGTCTGGGCTGCCCAACAAATCAGCAATGCCAATTGTGCGGATGAAATAACCCAATTATCAAGAGACGGATCCACGAAGTATCAGCTGACGACCATCTCAACAAGTATCTTCCCCCGGCAAACCCCTGGCTGTACAAGTGGGACCGCTTTTACCACAAGTGGTGAGAGAAGAAACAGTTCTGTCCGCCCGTTCGTTCAAAAATTCTTCACGATATCGTTGATCCGTCTCTGATTAGTGGGGGTGTGGGGGGCTAGGAGATCAGTACCTAAAATTCACACCATCGTTAGTTAAGCCCAATAGAACTAAAATGGACAATGCGGGGACGTGTAATAGGGAAGATGTGGGGGAACAATCACTGATCAGACAAGGCTGAAACTTATATAAAAGACAGGTGCTCTACATGATGTATTAAGAAGGAGCATAGCATGTTGTCATACATATCATCATTGAAGCAATCGCTCTTAGGCATGCAGGGGAGAAGGGAAGGAAAAACAGCAACCTTATAATTTATCACCATAGCAGGTGAAAAAGTTGGTTAAAAACCTAACTAAACGGCTTGATTAGCAAGAAATGGGGTTAATGCTAGGCATCGAGAATAAGCATTAGGAAATGACTGGATCAGATTAATTCTAGAGCATGATTTTGAATCCTCACTGAGCATAGGAGTTGGATTGTTCGTGGAAAGAGTTTTTCATCCCAAAGCCGAAGGAGCAAGAAGAAAACAAAGAGGAGGGAATGTATTTACCATTCGACTGCAACAAATCAGAATCAAATGCCATAGGTATCCACGCGCTACATCGGTATTGCTGTTACTATTGACGTTGATAATCGGCGCTGCTGCGTGATGGAGATGAAGGAGAAAAGTTGAAAGAGATGAAGTTTATGTGCGCAAGCCTGGACGCACGGTGGTTAAAATTCCCCTGACCCTGCTTTTGTCTTGGCATTGTATTGGGTGGCTGGGGCAGGGCGGAGCAACCAGAGCATGGCTCCGTTTCGGGTTTAGCGTGAAAAATCAGCCACGCCGTCGCCCGGGACTCAGCAGGCCTTAAAGCTCGGCTCCCCGCATTTCTGTCCCCTCCTCCTCCTTTCTCCCCTTTCTCCATACAACAGAGGTTAACTCTTCCAGAGCGAAGCTCCGATATTGAGAAAATCTTTCACGATGGCGGTTGGGGTTCACGTGCCCCTCCGATTCCTCCGGTAAATTTTTTGTTTTCCTTAAATACCCCTATACCCATAAACCAAGCTAATGACGGTCTACTTACCTAGGGCCGCGATCAAACAGGGCGTATCAGTCCTCAAACAGCGGATTCCCACAGTAAATTCCCAACAAACTTCACGCGCTCTCGAACCAGTATATGCTCGTATTCCAACTCGGGGCTCTCGCCTCCCGTACGGACAACGCGTGAAGGTTGCTCAACGATGGTATTCTACCTCGGTCGACAGAGTGCTCTGCGAGGCTGGCTTCAAGAATGTCGCTCCAACGGTCGCTAAAGGCCCTGTTCGTCATGCTGTCGGCAGACTGACCACTACAACTCCTTTCGCTTCCACTCTCCGACCGAAGCTTGTCGGTGGCGCGTTTCCCCGGAGCTCAGGGGGGTACAGCTTGGGTGGATCAGCTCGTTACTTCTCGCATACACCTACTGCACCGGCTCAGGTTGTAAGCCAGGTGGTCGCTGCAATGAGGGTTCTAGCAACAAAGGGAAAGATGGAAGGGTTAAACTATGGGACCGACGGAAGAGCAGCTGTTCGTGCTCGACTTGCGGCAAGATTGGCGGACGAGAATGCTCCCGGCACTCATATCGACTTTTACCTTTCTCCCACTTTGACTTGCCTTTCTCCCTTAAACGCCAGACAGAATTCTCTCGAAGACGAGGGTTTTATGGAGAGCCTTGGGGCCGACTTTGGCGCCATGCTCGGTGGACTCACTGCTATCTACTCTGATATTAAGAAGCTTAGTCAGCTCGGGGACTTGCCCGTCACCCTTGCCGGACCTGCGGGTGACATCGTACGCGTACACTTTAAAGGACGGAGCGGAGCAGATGTTGAGGCTATATGTAACGAACTTGGGATAAGAAGGGGTGTTGTTTTCGAAGAAGAGCGCTTCGCTATAGGGCTCCTTGCCCCCGAGTACGGTGAACCTCCTGGGTCATGGAGAGACATGATGAGCGAGTCACCCCCTGCTTCGTCAACCTACTCCGAGGATGGTCTCGAGGAGATCCTTTCTGAAGCTGAGAGCTACGGGGCTAGCGACTACTTTGATATAGACGCAGACGTGAGTTTTGGCACGCCGACTCCTGATGGAAGCGTTGTTGGGGTCTATGATGGTCCAGAAGATGTTTACAGGTTCTTGGAGAATTTCATCGAGCATCGCGGCGGTCGTGACGGCTATAGTACCTACCAATAATTTTCTTCTGCACTCTGTGGCTGGTTTGGAGAATTATCGTGTTTGATTCGGGACAAATTGTTATTCAATGGAGGGACCTCTAGTTTCAGTTTTTACTTCCCAAATTGGAATCCATCACTTTCCTTTCTTGGTCTTGTTTGTCGTTTTTGTAGGGTAATAGTACTCACATGCCCTTCTTGCCGTCATAAATTATAAATTCCTAGTTGCAATCATCATCTTGATCCCAGTCAGGGCTCTCGCCCTAACCCCACTCGAATCGAACCAATTGAGCTATATTCTGCAGTATCACGCTGCAGGGGATCACTCTGGTAGGATACAGAAGGGAGTGTTCCTCCTCGGCGATTACTATAATATACTGTGGGTCCTGCGTTGAAAATAGCGTTAAAAGTTGGAGTGCGCTAGCGGGAAGGGGGGGTAGACTAGGAATAGTTAGCCTATCATAGCTTCAAATTCCTAGTTGAACGTTTACGTTTCCAATGGCAGGCCTGAGCCCCGTTTTTAACCTCCAGTTGAAGTTGTTACTACCCTTCGTCATCAAACCTCTCAGAGCAGGCGCTGCACAACTCCCTCAATCTTGTCGACTCACAGCCAGCTTCACCATATAAAAATTTTCATCGTTTTCACCGCTTGTTTCCCCCCCCTCTTCCGCCAAAGTCACAGTCCACGAGTGATGGATTCCCTTGGTACCGGAACCAGATACTGTGTATTTGGTAGTGCCGCCAGGGGTGTTCTGCATAAACCTTGCGTGCCCACTGCGGGAGGACTGTCGCATCCTCCTCAAAGCCGTTTGCCGTTGCAGCCAAGACCATATCCCTTCCAGTGGCTACCGCCTCTTCCATTGAATCTTTGGAACATTTGTCCGAGGGCACCCAAAATCCCAATATCATACCTCAGCTGTTTGGGTGGACACAGTTTGCTCAAAGGTGTTGGATTGTCCACCGGGTATGCGGTTAGACTAGGCGATATGCGATTTTGTGATGTGCGAGGTGTAGGCACAGGGCAGCGGTTTGTTACTTTCACATCCTGTGTTGATAGAGCACAGGGTATAGGTTTTTTGGTTATATTGATACCCGATGCCACGGGGAATCGGGTATGGCGTAACTTATCTGCTTTATTTTCTTCCATACCCTACAGTACCGTATGCCGTCCGGGGTCCGGTGGCTGGTTTGAAGCATCATGGAGGATAGTGAGATATCTGGATACCGTGTCTTGTCGACCAATCCACTATCTCCGGCAGCCCCTATTATAATCTTTCTGCTTAGGCAAAAAGCTCAGGGGAAGGTTTAGTTTGGGAGGTTTACAGAATTACGAATACCAGTTAATGAGATCCAACCTAGTCAGCACGCCCACTATTTGCCGTGTGAGGAAGACGCAAAGCCTTCTTGGCGGGGTTTGTCTCGGAGTGGATTGGACGAGAAGAAACGGCAGTCCTCTGTATATTGTTGGATGATCACTGAGGATCATGGTTTGTCATGATGGTGTGCTTCTTTAGAGTTTGTGGAACTTCTTTTGGTTTCCGGGGTTGTTGGCCATCTGGAGATAGATATCCTCCGGTCTGTCCTTAACCAGCATCTGCATTGATCACTTGATTGACCATCCTCCTGCACTCCACTGCACTTCGAGCTTATGTTATAGCACTTTCACTACTCCATCTTTTAGCACTTTGCTTTAGGCTTCGCTAAATGGCTGTTCGAAGCGGGTAAAATGTTTGATGCTAGTAGGTCTCAAATTTGGCTTATGTGAGAGAGGAACTCGAAGAGCAAGTACGAGTACCGGTACTCTAAGGCGCTGGTGTCTTTGGGAAAGATAGGGGGGAAACAAACAGGGGGAAAAGTGGTAGAATTACGCCACCGTTTATTAGCAGACTATCGACATACCGTAGTTGATTCAGAATTGTGTCTACCATCTATTTCGATCAATGAATTCTATTGGTCGATTAATGTTTAGTGCAACACGTGAAAATAACCGGAGGAAACTGCCTAATCAGAACCACAGTTACTAACCCTAAATATGCTTATAGTGCGGTACGAGTATGATAGACTACTGTGCAAGTACAGTACCGGTACACACCATGGCGCTGTGATAGTGACTAGCCATGACCGTCGGTTTACGACTGACTAACGTGCTCGACTAGCGTTACCGGGCACGTCCAACCATCACATCACTCTTTACTGTGCTAGTACGGTACAGTCTTCACTGGGCGCGAGGAACTGGGCGAGCGACGAACACGGGTACCGGTATTCTATGGGCATAAGTGGATTAGTCAAAGTAGGGTAACAAGGTTTTTGGTTAGATTTAAGGATCCCCGTTCGTCACCGGTGAAGTCTGTCTGTGTCTTACGTTAGACTACACTCCCGGAGCAATATCCACCAGCTACCTCCACTAGGCCCTGCACACGAGAGGTCTTGCTAAAGCCTTTTTCAAAAGCAGAACAAACCTCAACTCCAACACAAACTCACTTTTTCCTTCTTTCTTTTCTTTTCACAAAGAGGACATCCTCACCCAAACATTCACCCACGTATCGGATATAGCCGTCCCACCACTTCCACGATGACTGCAACTTTCAACACCCCCCAGGAGATGCCTTACGGCCCCGCTCACCCCCTCCAAGTTCTTGATCTCTACCGCCAATGTAGCGACCCGGACGCCTACTGGGTAACGTAAACTCTCCCCCATGCCACCTCTCGGCCTTCCCTTCTCCCTTTCCTACAGTGTTGCTCGCGATAAGTGACGGGCAAGTAAAGCCACCATGTCGACGATGAGGGGTCATGATGGGGTCGGTGAAGTTAGTGTCAATAGTGAGGCCAGGGTTCATGTATTCTGAATTTTCATCTCCTTTTTGAGGAGGAGCGCTTCCATGGATCTCTGAATAACGCTCTACTTGCCGGGTGTGAATGATCGCTCGCATTCGAGCATGTGGTCCGGCCCGGTCCGTTTGGTCTCTTTCAGGGTGATGCTGTTTGTGGTTAACTGCATTATGCTGCTCTCTTGTATTCTTTCTTCCCTTTCTCTGTCTTGTTTTTCTCCATTTTCAGTTCCCCTCTTTACTGGAATTGAATGACCACTTTTCCTTTCCGTTTTGTAACAATTGGTGCAGTAATCTTCCGACCGCTCGCAGTGTATATACTACTGAGCATGACACCCGTCACCAACTAACCCCAGAGTGACACCCTATCGCGAGCAACACTCCGAGTTCCCCATGCACGCGCTCAGCTAACCACCAAACTCCCTAGTTTCATCCACGGTGGTGCCTGGTCCGACCCCGAAATGACCAAATCGGGTGGTCACCCCCTCATCCGCTCCCTTCTGCCCAAATACCCACGTCTTAACGCCGCAAGCATAAACTACCGTCTGAGCCCCCACCCACGCTACCCTTCCAACGGCAACGCCGCCAAACATCCCGACCACATTGATGACGTCCGCCTCGCGCTATCGTTTTTGCAGGAACGTTATAGTATGAGGAGAGAGAAGACTGTGCTCGTGGGACATAGCGCCGGTGCGTACATGGCATTCCAGGTCGACGCTGGTTGCGGAGCGGCGGCGGCAGTGGTGGTTGGGATTGGGGGCGTTTACCACTTGGGGAGGTTGGTGGAGGAGTATGCGGATTATGAAGGGTTTGTTGAAAGGGCCTTTGGCGGGGGTTGGAGGCAGGTCGATGCGGAGGGTTTAGCGGAGGTAGAGGATGGGGGGAAGGGAGGTGGAAGGGTAGTTCTCGTGCATAGCTCTCAAGATGAGTTGTTGAGTTTTGGACAGTCGAGGTATTGGGCTGGGGTGCTTAGAGGGAGGGGAAGAGTTGTCAAAGAGGTGTATGGTGCGATGGGGAATCACAACGAGGCTCCTAAAGGCACGGAGTTGGTTGGGGTCGTCGAGGCGGAGTTGGAAGAGTTGGAGATGGAATCTGCGAAAGGGAACTGAGCAACAGGCCCTAGACAGGGGATAGATAGTGGGAAAGGTGGTTGAGAGATGGCCGGGGGAGTTCTGTGCCGCTATGGGAATTTCGGCGGACAAGCAATAGTCCCCAACGCTCTCATACAGCTAGGTTTTGGGCGGGGTGAATACAGTGCCCGTATCTGCACCCAGTGCCTGCTCCGTGCGAATCCATGTCAACTCTAGCTCCCACACAACAATCCATTGTGTCCGGAAAGCACGTGACCGGAGACCTTCAACTTTTCCTCACAAACCACTCCCCGCTCATTCCTCCCATCCCCTGTGATACCATCCAGTAGAATTGCAACGACCAAAAAAACGCCAGCGCCGGAGATCAGTAATCAAAAAGCTATCGAAAAAAATATTTAGTTTACCTTCATAGCTTGTCACTCGACCATATCGGCTCCCGCGAGAATGAAATCCCTGGTACCGCAAAGATCCTTACAGCACGGGACCGGTAAAGTAACTCAGTTCTAGCCGCGGGGAATACATTTAAGAGCCAGGTTCGGAGTTTAGGGTTTGGCTTGTTCGAGTCAGTCGGGTGGTGGGGGGTGCATTGTGGTGCGATGTGTTGGTATGGACTGGTACCGGACGTTGCAGTCGCCCAGGGTGCTCCACTTTCTGACCAGTAGTCCATGCCTGTACGACTAGGGGTATTCAAAGTCAAAGGTAGGTATTTTCAGTGGTGGGTAGATGTGGGAAGTTGCATTAGGTTACTTTGTGGTGTTGGCCAATAGGATCCATGCGTTTTGGGCGGGGTGTTTAAGTGCATCATGGTAAGCGAAGATAAAGTGTCTTCACTGATTGGGATTCTATCAATACTGTGGAGACCGGGGACAGGTGGTTTCTGCTGAAAAAAAGTAGATAATTGTTCTCAAGGAAGACTATCATATTTTAGGATTTTGTTTAAAATATCCTTTTGGCTTTATGCATTATCACTATGTTCTGGTAAAGTTCAGTTGCATGGAATTTCCAAGCTATCATACTCAAGTTACCGACCTCTTGACCTTCGTAAGAAAGGGTTGTATGGTAAAGGAAGGGAAAGCAATGGTAAGTTAACTGTTTCTGTGTGTGCCAAGCTTACATGAAACACCTAGGTAAGCTAACGTTTGTCCAACTTTTTCAACTTTGAATACGATACCCCTGTGCCAGTGCGGCACCGGTACGGGATTTCCGAACGGGTGCGGCCCCGCGCGTGAATTCCTCGCACCCTTTCCTACACCCCAAGAGACAATGCCCATCGAACAAGAAAACAGCCAGAACCTGTTAGATAACTCTTCTCGGGTGTGCCTCTAGGGGCATTATAACATTTTACCGCTATTCGCCTTACGGGATACCGGGAAAGGGTAACTTAGTTAGGGGGGCGTTTCTGGGGTCTCGTATTATCTTCTGGACTGCTGAAACTCTTGAAAATTTCTTGCTACCCCTATCAGCGTCTAAGACAGGGATGATTAATGCACCACCTCAGCATTCTTCAGTAGTGATGAGCGTAGGGACGACCATACTGCCTGTAACCGGCAACAGTCTAAATTTTGCACATCTGCGAAGCTGTAGTACTTAAAAAAAAAAAGTTGCACTTATTAATCTGTGTCTCAAGGGCGGCGGGAAATCCTCGAGAGTTCCAGCAGTCCAGGACATACTGTAACACTCACGGCTTATCAATTTTGTGGGACGTGAGATGCAGTCTTGTTGCCAAGCAATGCTAGGCTCTCATAAAGTAAGCACCCGCATCAGCAATATGCGAGTTCCGGTAGGGCACTATTCAGGAAATGTTGTCATTGGTGCATTGCTTTTGCTTCTTTGACCCTTCGGATGCCTGGTTATTCGGTGCGGCAGATGCGGATTTAATTTTGTGCGGAGGAATAGCATTCCCGGGAGATAACGGTAGAAGGTTTTCTCTGCTATAAGAGGGTATCATGGCTAGATGAGCCCGAGATCTTGGGTTAGGGAATCTATGTCTGGTCATTTTTACCCACCTGCATACTTTTCGCTTTTTTTTGTTAGAATTCCCGGAGATTCGTATTTCTATGACTGGGCGAGCATTTATTTGGGAGCACCAGATCTGGTGGTGGGGGATTTCACGTTACCTCGCGACCGGTGCAAGATTCGCTGGCAGATTGGGTGGTGTTGAGAGTTTGGGGTTTTCGTGGTGGCTGTGGATAGAGGGACGCAGTTAGACGGTGGTATGTGATTTTACAAGGAAAATAAAAGTATTCCCGAGTTTGATAATTGCGATCGTGCTTCAATAGAGAAGTAATAGAGATTGCATTTACTGGTGCTCCCAGCGAACGTGGCCGGCTTTGGGTTTCCCATGCGATGCTGCCGAGTGCTGCTTGGCTGATCGCCGTGTTATGCGATTTTGATGGGCATCTTGTGTTGGGTAGCGGATACCGGCACTTTGTTAACCACATTATGATACCAATCGTGTTTCCCATACCCTGTGCGTCACTCGATGGAGAAAACAAAGTTCGCAAGACTGAACATGGGTAAATATTGGGTAGATAACTATATGATACGGAGGGTCTCCCGCAGCCGTTTACTCTTTTTGAGATTCATTCACGGTTAGATTTAATTCGATCGGACGATTCCAGTTGACAAAAGGGCTGATTTCAGATGGCCTCGCCATTCAGTCTTGAGCTCTGTCTTGGCAAAAAAAGCATTGATTGGAGATGACACCGCACTCACAGCGCGGGTGCACAGCCTCCTGAGGGGGCATGGGCGAGGAAGTTCCGAACTGTTGGTGGCCAGCTTGTCAATTTTGTGCCGTAGTACGGTATTGTTCCGCAGATAGTTGCCGGGATACTCAGGAAAAAGCCTTTTTTCGTATTGGGGAACTCTAGACTGCTTGTTCATTTTTCCCCTTTGCTCGTTTGGACCGGCTTGCGATCGGTGCGGTGGCTCAGGAATGAGATAGGTGGTAGTGCCGGGGCAGATATGGCGGGGAGAGAGCGACTCTCTGGCTAATCTAGAGTGGCTCTCGTGAATCTATCTCGGTTCCGCTCGAGTGAACTTCAGAATAGCCTTGCAGACCGCCTTCTTCCCGTCCGCACAGGGTGTTTGGAAGGTTCTAAACTCTACAATAGACTGCCTTCCCTGGCTAGGAATGGGGAGGGGGTGTGGGGGAGAGTGAAACGCTGCCGTTACACAACCGCTCTCCGCCTCTTCTGGCACTGAATATGGGGCGACATACTGTTACGGTAGTCCACTACTACCTAAGGGACAACTCGCGAGCGAGGAGGGGCCTTTTCTATGGTCACGCTAGAAGCTGGGGAGAGGGAACCATAGTTTTTTTTGTTGGCTCTCTTTTTGGAGACCAGCATGACTGGGTGGATCCAGAGGGGTGGAAGACGTATCTGCCCCAAATACCTACTTCCCCCATACACTCGAGTATGGTTTGCCCCGATTGACCATTCTACTTCGAGGGATCCGGCGCACCGCTGCAAGACCCTTCTCTCTTGGCAGCACGTATCGTTAGGAGCCACGGACACCGAATGTCACCGGCAGTTCAAAATCCCCTCCTCTGATGTACCCGAGGCCGTAGCGAGAAATAAATCACAACGAAGGATTTGGCTAGCGGTGCCTCGAAGATTCAACGAGGTAGTCCTGAAGGGTGACAATCCGATTCGATTAATTACCAAGCGGTTCAAAAAGAGATGATTCCTCAGCGGTTGCTTTATACCCACCTACGAAACTTTTCCTTGTACATTATTTTCTGTTCCTCGAGTATGATATGATACAGTGCACTTACGGACTATCGTAGGCGGAACAATGCTGTTTGACTGCTTTCCATTGGCTCTTGGCACTATGTGTGCCGGCCGTGAAGCCCGAACATGAACTTTTTGGCACTGTTAAGTCCTTGGCCTTCGTTATCCTGCTTCCTCACTCCATTCCCCCTCCCTTCCTTCTATATTATGATACAAGACCACAATTACTCTTCCGATTTTTCCCAAAATTCCCACAGTTTCTATCCCCAAAACTTATCCGCATTACCTCTTACTACGCACTACATTCCACACACAAAATACTGTACAGTATCGATACATCTCCCGGCGTGCCACCACCTTGAGCGCTCATGCCGGCCATTCCACCTTTTTCAATCAAGACCCTCTTACCGCAATTCAGCAAACGTGATTACGCCAAAAACCAAGGAGAGGGTGACAGCGATGTCATGAGTCCAGCAGAGCTAGTCGGACTTCTTATAGCTGCCCTAACCTTACTTGTCGCAATAGTATCTCTCCTCCGGTGCCCGCGGTTCTGCCGTTGGGTCTCCTCCTTCTCGGTTGCATCATCCGTCCAAGTATACCCACCCCTTGACTTATTCATATGAATTCTCAGTTTTTACAACTCGTCATAGAAAACCCTCGGAATCACTCTTCCGTGCCCTTCGCCGACGACCATTGCCCCCGAGGGGGACCCGAGCGCCGTCCCAGTTGCTGAGATTCCTATACTTGGCCCCGTCTTAATTTACAATGACTATTCTATCACCCACTTTGTTGGCACCCACTCTAATATCTTCCCTTCCAACAATAGTGGCATTACCGGAGAAGATGGTAGAGTGGGAGTGGAGGAATCCCCGGGGCCGAGAAGACCGGAGCCAGCAGCCTCCCGGGGGCTTTCATAAAGGTAGACATTTTGTCTAGTTATAGAAACCTGAGCACTTCGGTCTCATTGAGGTAAAGGTTATCCAACTCCTTTCCCTTTATGTTCGGTACTACACTCACACGATGTCTCCCTTTACTTTAACATTTCTGACACTTCTTGTCGAACAGCTTGAGCTAATTCTGCTATCTATGACAGCATGTGGGAAAAGGGGAAGGAGTTTGTAGGTTTGTTACGGTAGTGCTTTGGTGAAATAAAGAACACCGGTAGTAGAACGCAAAATACTTGGGATGTTTTCTTTGTCAACTCTTCCTAATCCCCTCTCGGTGTTTATTTAGACCTAGAGGTTAGCGATTTTAGTTCTCCCTTATGCTGTCTTTGAACGGATCGGGGGACACATATCTATTCATTTTTTTCCCCGAGGGATGGTAGATTCATAGAATCTTAGGAAGATTAGTATTGGGCATTCGGCCGTATCTCCCACAGCGAGTGGACTTTTGGCGACGTACTGTACTGTACTTTACAGTCCCGACAGGATAGTGGCCGGACACTA